AACTTCAACAGTGAATGAAACTAGAAAGCAAATCATAAAGAAATAATCAGGACCTAGAACTGTTGATAAGCACTGGATTGCGAACCACAGGATCCGCGGTTCGAGCCCACTAGCACCTCTCAGGAGGAAGATGAGACTTTCTGCTCTCGCGAAGATGTAATTCCTCAGAAACCCTATACAGAGTCACTATGAGTACTCACACACTCGAGGGGACTAACACTCACTTAAACAAGACCTACGTCCTGATTATGAAAATCGCTCATTTTGCTGGTCTCCTTGAAAAGGTGCTCAAATCCTTTTATTCAAATAAAGTACAACGCCAGTGTATTGAATAAGCAGTTGAGTGTTCCAGATAAAAGTCTGTTTTTAACAGCTAATAATTGGAAGTAGGTTTATAAGTAATCATGAAACTCTTTAGAGAACTTGACTGCCCTCTAGTGGGTTGAAACATTAATGCAGAGTCCAAGGTTTTCCAGTTTCAAGAACCAGGATGTTCTGGGATCATCTGGGTCACTGGCTAATTAACTTTTTGTCTCACAAGTCTCTTGTGTTTTTCATATAAGACTACAGATGCTGTGATAACAAAATAAGGTGCTTTTCCTCAAGACTCAAGATGGAATTGTGAGCTGGAGTTAGATAGCAGCTTGAGTGGCCACGCCCAGGTCCAGGTCCAGATCTGTGTGTAGAGGTGTCACCTGATCCAAGATTCTACTCATTCAGTCTCATATAAACAGTGATCTTGTGGGGGGTGAAATGGGCATATAGTTAAGAGTTAATGACTGGGGTAAAAACAGTGGTAATTGATAAATATGGGCCTTTCCTTTAAAATGATCTGGATTTATCAGTGAGAAAAATCTTTGATTAGGTATGTAATTTATTAATCTATTAATTTACATACATAAAATTAATTTTAAAAGTTCTGCTTGATTGCTACTACAAACTACTTAGATTTAAGAAACATTTTTATTTTAAATTATTGGTAGGGAACTATTTTAATTTATGGATCTGTTTTAAAGCACTCTGAAAATTTTTTTGAATCTGAGAGTGGAATGTAATCTCTTGTAACATTTTTATCAGTGAGAATGAGCTATTTAATGGAAGCCCTACTGTGGCAAATGGTCAGATGCTTTCTCCACAGCTTATCAACAGCTTGTCAATTAGCAATTAAAATTTTTGGAAAAAAATTGAAAGTAATTTTAATTGTTTTTAAGGTATCAAAGACAATTCAGCTAAACATATTAATGACTAAGGCAAAGGTATCTGCTGTAACAACAAAAATGTTCCCACCTTTGAATAAAATAATTTAACACAAAAATCTGTAACTTACATCACAAATATACTCTGAGTTATATTGATTAAACAAAATTCTATATTTATTACCACAAATCATTCAATCTTAGTTATCTGTCATTAAAAGCACACACACCCAGCAAAAGCCCTTCCTTCAGGACATTTTAACAAGCATAGATGAATACAAGAACAAACCAGACTCACTGTTGTCAAGTTGATTCTTGACTCACAGAGACCCTATAGAACAAAGTAGAATTGCTCCACAGGGTTTCTAAGGCTACAAATCTTTCCCAAGTATACTACCACATTTCTTCCAGGAAGAAGCTGGTGGGTTTGAATTGCTGCTTACCGTTAACCAGCTGATATATTAATTTTTTTCCTACAATTGTTTACAGTGGGTCACATAATGCTTATTTGCAGTCTCAGTTGCTCACCTGGTATGAACTCAACATAAGAGACTGACTGATAAGCTACTGCTGTTTCTCTTTCCGTTTCATCCTGAAATCTTGCTCAAACCTTCAGCATTTTCATTTCTAGTTACTTCTACATCCATTTAGAAGATGCCCAGTTCAATAGAGAAGATAATGGGAAATATATGCAACTAGTACCATCATGTTGAAAATAATAATTGTTTAATGAATCAGGAAAAAAGAATCCTCCCTAGTGATTAATGGCTTATCCTTTGTAACTGGAATAGTTGTTAAAATCTATTATTTTAGTATGACAGAAGTTGTGCTTCTTTACGTAATGTGCAATACAGCTTGATTGGGGCAGAATGGACCATTGTGTTTGTCATATTTTGGGTGGGATTTTTATTAATGCGTTGGAAGCTACCATTTCACAATCAGTGTTTCTGTGTAGAATTGAGTCCTAAACAAGAATCAGCAGTTGGATAAACAGCCTCGGAAAAACACTTCTAGTTTTGTGCCTAACCTGTATCTATTTTACAGATAAAACCGTATGAAATATATGCTGAAAATCACAAAATAGCAATAACATTTTGGTGTATTTCCACCCACTGCAGCCGCAAACAATTCAGTGGAGAATTTTCCAGCAATCATGGGCACATATGCCCTTAACAAGAACCTACATATACATCCACCCACATGAGCATACATAATCTCTACAGGAATTTACAATATATTTATTTTATAATATAAAATGTGTGACCTGAAGCAATTCTCTATTTTCTTTAGGGTGGGGGAAGAAGAGGGGTAGGAGATAGAAAAGGACTGCAAAAAGCATCAATTCTTAACCAAATGCATTTAAGGTCTCTTTTAGGCAGGAACAAGTAACATCACCGAGTAATTAAATGATAATGGTTTCAAATAAAAATGATGGTGAAGTAATAATACTGATGATGATAGTGATGATGAGTTTGAAGCTGCTCTCTTGCAGCAATCTCTCCTTGGGGTGCAGAGCGCAAAGCAAGATCGCTCTCCAGTCCCCATTTTCAGAACCATTTTTTGTACTTGCAGGTGAATTGCGAATTGTGGGCAAAAGGGATAGCTCAGAACATTGTGCAGAAACCCATCTACCTAGCTGCACAGGGGAGCTGGCTCTGGGGAGGGGGCACAGTGCCCAGCCCTGGGTACTGCAGGGCTGGCAACTCTCCATGCACTCGCCCTCCACGTGCGCCCCTACCCAGATGGCGGTAGCCAGATCCGGGTCCCAGCTGGGAAGGGGTGGGGCAGAACCGCGCCCCGGGTCTAGGAAAAGCAGTTTTTCCTATGGAGACCCTTCGCGGGATCGCCATCCAGGGGGATCAAGAGAACAGAACAAGGGCCTTGGGGTGTAGCGGGGGTAGAGGCAGTGAATGACCCAGAGCTTCCGCAGGTCGCGGTGGGTGGGAGTCCTCTGGTAAGGGTCACCTCTGCTGTCTCGCAGTTGGGTGTGTTGGGGGCCAAGCCTTTGTGTAGCCGGGCGGGGCTCACGCCAGTCTTTCTGCAGAGCCGCCCACTTGGCTGGGAGGGGTTCTGTACCACGACTGAGAGTATCGCTTGGGTATCTGCGTACATCGAGAGGCGCCTAGGCGGTTCCCAGTTGCGTGACTAGAAAAGAGGGGGCTCTAGGACCACAGACCTCCCCACGACCCTTGTTTAGCCCCCTTCCTTGCCACGTCTCCTAGTTCTGCGCGCAGAGGGTGGAGCAGGGCGGAACTGCCCAGGCTGAGCCGCTCTAGGTTGCTGTCCCCCTATCTGCTCATCCCCGCAATCCCCTCCAGGAGAAGGGGTGCTTGCAGGGACCCCTGTTGTACAGACTGCTTAGGGATGGGGATACCGCATCCAGAATCTTGTTCTGCCTCTCTGATTTTATGATCTCTTCCTCTCTGATAACAGGTTGAGCCTATGCAATTGTCGATATTTGGCACTTTCTGACCTACAAAACGGGACTCTCAAGTGGCTCAAAATGTTGATCTCTTATATTTTATATTACGTTTACCTATGTATATTTATATAGATGTCTGTATATTTATATTTACATTTGGATCTAGATTCCGGAAGCTTTCACCGCAAACGATCAAATGAGTTCAAAGAAGCCTTTCAATACGTCTTATATCTAATCACCTAATGTAAAGGTGGTTCTGAAAGAAACATGTTAACTTACTCCCCTCACCCCATCTCCTTCTATAAAGGAACAATGGGACCTTGGAGGGGAGGGCGGGGGCAGTGGTCAGAACCCTCTCGGAAAAGAAGCCAAAGCAAGGAGTCTGGAGCGCGGGGCGTGGCGCCGCTGTCCCCGCAGGGCTCTGCTCTGGGGTGTCGTACTCCGCACCCCGCCCCGTCCCCTTTCAGCATAAGATGCTGCACTGAGCACGGGGTGTTGGGGGGTGGGGTGGGGTGGGAGGGGGGCAGTGGCGCGGCTCCACGCTGGGTGGGGCCGCCTGCATTGTGCTCCCAGCGCTGCAGGTGCCTACCTCCCCCCCCCCACACACACACACACTCCCCTCCACCCCTCGGGACCGCCCGTCCGCACACAAAGAAACCCCACCCCAGAGCCTTGGAAACCGCGATCCCTCCACTCCTCTATACCATGCGCTTCCCCGCCCTTGCAGCTGCCCACCCGCGCCCTCCATGTCCTCCCAGACTTCCTCCCTACTTCCCCTCCCTTTCCCTAAAACAAAGGAGCGGTGCCCCTCCACCTCCCTGTACCGCACCCCAGGATTAGCGGTTTCTCTAACTAGACAATAAGATCAAATTTGCCCTGTTCCCCCCTTTACGTGTCTCCACCCATCTTTTTAGCAGCTTAGATGGGACCGCTTTGACTTCGCATTCGTCTTAGTCCCTTCTCCCTACCCCTCCAACCTTCTTCCCGATTTTCTTTTTTAAGTAAAGAAGAAATAAAGGACGTTATAAAGCACTTTTCAAAATGTCCCTTAACCCTCCGTGTAAGGCAAACAGTTAAGATCACCCCTCCCCCATGATTGAGCCCTAATTTAAAATATGGAAACAGAATAAATCCTTTACCCAAGGGAGGGCAACTTACCTGTTTTCTAGCTTCTAAGAGAAATGCTTCGATTTAGATTTCCAAGGACCCTATTTTTACCCTCCCACCACCCCAGAGCTGTCTCCCTCTTTTTTGGCTACTGTGTTACCACGAACGTTTTTTTCTGTATAAAATATCTCCAAATGCCTTCTAAGCTCTTAGAGACAGAAGGTGAGAGGTGGGCTCCAGGGCAAGCCATAGGAGAACGAGGCGCAATGCCTTACCCATTGCTGTTTTAGCCATTGTAGAGATGTGTAGATGAGGAGCGACAGAAAAGGCGAAGGGTCCGGCTACAGCAGAGAGAGCGAAAGAGAAGACTGAATAAGGCACTGAGTCTGCAGAGTGGGACGGTGCGAGAGAAAGCGCAAGAGACAGGAGCCCATGAATAATTATCACGTAGAAGCTTAAGCAGATTGGCTCCCAAGGTCCCCTGACATGACTCCCGCAGAGTCAGAATCTCCAAGCATTAAATATTGATCGTCCAATGGTGCTGGAGTACAAAGTACCAGAATGCAGTTTGAAATGGAAATTAGTCCTGCCCTGTCAGCTCCCCCCATTTTGGGGGCCTAATAGTACAGTCCAAGTAGAGTTGAGTGCCTTAGCCCAGAGCCTCCTAGGAGCTAAGAACTGGGCTGTGCCTACCTGGAATCCAGGAGGCTTGACTTAGTTCACATATGTTTCATTGCACAACTAAATTAAAAAGAAGAAGAAGAAAGGGACTCAGAGGCCTGAGAAGTCCTCATAACATTTGGACAGTTGAAAATATGCTTAAACACCTTCTTTTTTTTCCTTTTCATATTTTTTTTTGTTCACTTTGGCCCTGTCCTTGAAAAGTTCTAGTCTTCCAGGGGGACCCCACTTCTGACTATGGTGGCAGTTGAGAACAGCCTACATTATTGTCTCTTATCACCCAGCACAGATGGACTTAGATGTCTCTGAACTCTAGGGGCTCTCTCAGCAGTGGAAAGGTAGTGTTTTCTCCTTTTGGCACAGAAGGAAGGGACTGCTTGGGAATAGGGACAAGTAATTACAGTTTACCTGGAGATTTGTTGCAAGAGGATGAGTAACTAGCCCTCTGTGCCTGTCTCCTGCCAGCTGGTAACAGTATAGAACCAGGTCCTCATGTCACGCTGGGGTTAGATGTCTAGGGAGTCACAGGTGTATGCCATGATGTCGAGAATGTGTAGCATTTCAGGGATTGGATCTTCAGTGATGTCTCCACATGCCAAAGAGAACCTTTGACACCTAAAGCTTAGTGGAGATGAAAGGTGTGTTCTGGGACATCGTTTTTCTCAGAGAGACTTCATTGATCTATATGAAGGTGAGATGTGGTCAAATTTCAGGTTGATGAGCAGAGTGCTATGTGAGGCTCACTGAGACTAGTTTCAAAATGTGACTTTTCGTTTCAAACAAGACATTCATCAATTCATTCCTTCTCACTTAATGAATGCCATTCATGAATTCATTCTTGCTCACTTAATGAATGCAATTAATTCATTTAGTCAATCTCCCTTGACTCATATAAATATTCATTGAGCATTTACCATGTGCTGGGATTTGAGGAGAAAGCAGTGAACAAGACAGGGGACTTACTCTCATGGAGTTTTAAATCACTGTTAGTTTAATATCTCTGTGACTTCATTGAACCTTTCCACAGTCTAGATCTATGTATAAATAGTGGTTTTGACAACAGGAAAATAGGCAAAGAACCACTAATTCCAATGTGCTTAAAAGCTGAACAAATAGCACTTTGTTACAATAGCGGACATCTATGAAACCCTTTCAACTTGGAAAGGTTTTATTTTAATAAAAATGGTTAGGATTTTTCTCCTCAATGAGATATAGTTCTTAGCAGGTTTCTATGTAACTACATTTCAAACTTTCTGTCTAGCCTCATGAATACTAAGCAATTTCAATTATAAACCATTAGAAAATAGTCAGACACTCTCCTTGGTGCTGAAATTTCCTCATCTTTGAAAAATTCTAAGACATTTTAACCCCATGGGCAGCTTTCTAAAAAATAGAAAACTAGTGAAACCGAAGTGATTCTGTCTCCCTGAATTATGGGGAAATAAAAGATAAAGTGGTGATCATCGAATTGTTTTTTAAGCAGGTATATTACAAGTTATAGTTCCTGTCATTGCACTAGATCTGCGACTATGATACAGCAAGAGAGCAATATGGAAGTTGACAAGAGTTAGGTTTCCCCTTTCTATATAATGAGGTCTGGTAGCATAGTGATTATGAGTTGGGCTGCTAACCTCAAGGTCAGCAGTTCAAAACTATCAGCCATTCTCTGGGAGAAAGATGAGACTTTCTGCTCCTGTAAAGTTCTACATCCTCTGAAGCCCAATATAGGGTCACTATGAGTTGGAACCGACTCCATGGCACTGGCACACAACCACCATAATAATTTCTATTTTAAATGTGAGAGTGAATTCCCTCTCAGTAGAGTACTTACCAGACATGAGATGAGGAAACGTCATCTTGTCTGTGTGACTAATACCTTTAAAGTATTTTTCCTCTCTCCATCACCCCTTTCCCCTCAGGCTTCAGTTTCCATGGAAAACAAGGTTGTTAAGTCATACCATTAACGTCTTTAATGACTGAAGTTGGCAGTTCAACAAGATCTATTGCACTTTTGATCATGATGAGAGAAACAAAATAAAGCATGTAACTGCTAATATCATTCTCTGGTGAACATTACTGACTGATGGGTAGGAATGTGAAAGGAAGGACAGTCTATAGAGGGCAAGTGTGAATCTTATTTAATTCTGACTTTCTGACCTCTAACCACTTAACATTGTTTATGTATTATTTTCAAATAATGTCAAGTGGGGGTGGGGGTTAGACTAATATGATTTAATATAAAACATAAAGATAACAAGCTGTTATCAACTATCAAGAAAAGCTAAATAGGCTATAATCAATGATAGCTTTTGTTTCCTTTTAACATTACAATGTGCAATCACACATCTTAGTTTGGGAGGATAGGGGCAAAATAAGAAGTTAATATGAGGGGGATTCAAAAAGTTCATGGCAAAATTCCATTACCCTTTAATCCCATTTTTCTATGAACTTTTTGAAGCCCTCTCGTATTTCATATTTCACAGTTGATTTACTTATTCATTCAATTGTTACTTAAATCCATGCATATAAAATATTTATTTAATGTAATCTTAGATTTTTATCTCATGAAAACAGACAATATTAATGTCTAAAATAACAGAAGTATCAGAATGCATTTGGTTGTAAGCAACAGAAAAAAAACCAACTCAAACTGGCTTTAGTTACAAAAGGATACATATTAGCTTATTTAACTACAGAAGCAGAATGGCCCCTAGAGATACGGAGATGAGAATCAGCTTTCCCTTGGTTTGGATGGAGATACGTTGATACCCAAATTACATAATAGACTCTAGATATGTAAAATGTAAATAACAATATCTGTCTTTTTAATTTTGGGTAGAATGATGACACGCCATGTATAAATTGCCTAAATTGTCATGGATATTTAATGAATTATAGTTATTATGATTATGCTAATTTCTTCTAATACATTTAAACCTTTTAATGTTAAGGACTGAGTAGTGTTTATCTTTATGTTCTCCTTAGTGCTTGTCTTTATGATTCAGATGGTAGATATTTAATAAATGCTTGTGAAATAGCAATAACTACAACAATAAAATGTTGTTAAAAAAATAACTCAAAATCATTGAACCCAGTGAAGCTATACTGATGTTTGCAATCAGTTTTCTTTTATGTTAGGAGTGGCACTAGGTAGTTTATTATTTGTTTATTTATTTATATCTTGCTCCATTCACAGAAGGCCATAGGTACATAGAGCTCACATTAATAGAAAACTTGGTAAAGTGTTTATCTTTTTTTTTTAATTGTGGTAAAAATACCATAATAAAACATTTGCCAACTCAACAATTTTGACATGTATAATTCAGTGACATTGGTTACATACATCCATTACTACTATCCCTTTCCAAGCTATTGAACCATCATTAACAGACTCCTCCTTTTCCTCTCCCTTTATCCCTGGTCACCACTAATAAGCTTTGGTCTGTATACATGTGCTCACTTTATATAGGTGGGGACCTACAGTTATTGTCCTTTTGTGACTGATTTGTTTCACTTTGCATAATACTTTCAAGGTTCGCCTATGTTGTAACATGTATCAGAACTGCATTTCTCATTATGACTGAGCATTATTGCATTGTTTGTATATACCATATTTTGTTTATCTAGTCATCTATTGATGGCCATTTAGAGTTCCACTTTTGGGTGACTTTGAATTGTGCTGCAATGAACAAATTTTTGTTTTCTTTAATAGCAGTAAAGGATGTGAAAGAAGTGCTATGAGAGACTTTAATTACTGTGGGTTTGCGCTTACTGTGTATTATCTCTGAGAAAGCCTAAGGTGTTGGTTTGTTTCCAAACTGGAGAGGAACAGTTCCTTAGGAGGATTAATTGATTTTATCTAGTATGGTAATATGATTTTCAACTATTAAATATATGGGAAAAATACTAAATTAATTGCTAAAATTTAGCTAGATATAAAATTATTGTTAAAATGCAGTTAATTACTTTGTTCTGAGCCTCAGTTGACTGTAAAGGAAGTTTAAGAAATAAAAGGCCTAATTGTTGTTGCTGTTAAATGCTGTCCAGTGGGTTCTGACTCATAGCAACCTTACATAGGGTTTCTGAGGCTGTAACTCTTTGTCAGAGCAGAAAGTCTCATCTTTCTCCCATGGAGTAGCTAGTGGACCTAAGCTATTCTCAGTCCAGTGTCTATCCTACAAAGTCACCGCACTCTATTTTAATGTTGTTGGAAATTAGGGACATAATGCAGTTAAAGCAAAGGATATCTAAAATAGTTACATGTGAAAAACATGGAATTGAATAACATTTTGATTATTTTGCCATACTTAAGTCTTTATAGACTAATGAAATATAAAATGCTTGGATGTCTACAATGAGACATATATTTTTCAGGAATTAGACAATGTGTTAGAATTATCTCTGAAGTGATAAATGAACATGTTTTATTGTTTTCCTCTTAAATCAGTTTTTTAAAAATGAAGAATGCTTAGTTAATTATTATCTTGTTTTTGTTTTTAGGATTTTCTTTACATCCAAATGGGACTTGTACATGTTGGTAATTAGTAGAATATATCCCTGAAGCAAAATGGCTTGTTGAAATGAGGGAATCCTATTGATGGTTTTATAATTGAACTTTTCTGGAAATGAACTTGCTCTAATCTTAATAAGAGCTTGATACAAGTTTAAGAAGCTGAATTTTTATAATAATTGGTAATGTTGAAAAACTCTGCTATCTTGGC